TGAGCGCGCAATTCAAAACAACTGACAAGCTAGCGCCGCATCAAGATGGCAGAGTAAATCTTCCCAAACATCTTAACGGAGCGCAATATTTTTCTCCTATATTCATATAAAGTGCCTCTAAAACAATGACACACTTCCGATTGGCAGCCCTTTCATTCTGACGCGTTATCAAAACAAATGAACATCCCTGAATTAAAGTATAGGCCTACCCATTCCCATAAATCCGATCTTATGAGGTTAAATATAACAAATCATCGAATGCAATATCAACAGAAGAATGTTGCTAGAATTTCTCAGACTTTTTTCACTTGAAATATTCTTTATTTCATAGAATAGCAGATATATTCTTGATTTAGAGAGACGAGGAGTAACAGTACAGTAAGAGGTAAATTGTTTGTCTTATAATGATTTAATATTTGTATAAGTAAAACACTTTTTATTCCCATAATCTCATTATCTCCTTTGTGTTTAGTTAGTTTCAATTTATTTGGATATGATTTTAAGAAAATTACAGAATCAGATACCGTGAAAAAATTATTCATCCGATAAGATATTAAGCAGAGTTCCTGGCCAACGCCTGCATTCGAAGGATCGTGACCAATACGTTATGCGACCGACGCTGTTGCCATGGTGACAGTACAATGCTTGACTTAGCAAGCGCAAGTCTAGCCATCCACATACACAAATGTATGCTTGAGTTAGCAAGAAAAAGGCTTGAGACTTCAGGCAAGAACTTTCCCTGCTTAAAATGCCTTTAGATTTTTGTGTCTTTTATCTACATTCAAAGGAATAAATAAATGAATTTAAGAAAGTAATTGATCTAAAAAGGACCGCACGAAGGCAAAATGTATATGTATATTATGGTTTATTATGGTTTAGATGCCCAAAGGATTTAGGAAGTATAGCCAAGGAAGACCACAACTACATCTCAAAATCCATCATTATGTGCATGCATAGCTCTCTTCATTGAAGCTATTGCCTTTGTGCTTCGTGATCAATCAGGGACTTCTAACATTAACCACCTGTATCCAGATGATGTTGCAATCACATCAAGGAAAAACTTGAGCAGCTGTACAGATGACATGAACAAAGCGTCAAGAGCAAAGGCCAGGGTGATAGAAAAGATTCGCCACGAGTGCACAAACCTCTTGGAGTGTGATTTGACTTATTTGGTGCTCAGAACATAGCTTTAGCATTATTCCCATCGATAAACAGATGTGGAATGTAACGTGCGTAAGCAGTGACTGGTAGAGTGCCAGCTCTAGGAAGGAAGCCATTTCCATGCTACGCACTGTATTCCTGGCTGCTGTGACCAGCGGCACAGGTTGTATTACGTAAAATTGAAAATTACCAAAAAAAATTGATATATGACACAAACCAAATGTTCTACATATTTTTTCTTGCACTGAGCTATTTACTACATAGAGAGATGATATGGAGTCTGTGCAAGGAAAATAAGTTATTACCAACAGGGTAAAGCAAATCAAAAGACAAATATAGACTTTGGAAAATGGCAATAAAGCTAAAAAAGTTTTCACAAAATAACTTTTCAAAGGGGAGGCACAGAGTATTGTCACCTACGCGTCACACACCCAGGATGCTGGTTACTCTTGTAGATTTTCATATCTGATACTAAGATTTTCATATCTGATTAAGAACAAAACATATTTATTATTGTATCCAATATCCTTTTAATAAATCATATGATTAAGCTGTTATCAGTATATATGGGCATAATGTACAGTGAAATACAGTGCTACATGAGCGCTGGTGTCTGTTGTAAACTATTAGATAGATAGTCTTTATGCAACACTGTTCTGTTGAACTTCATATGTCTGCATCTCTTGGTTTTTAATTATGGTGCTCTTTACTTTTTCGTTTTTTCTTTTAATTTGGTCTGCACATGTGTTACCACAGGATATTATACTGTTACTTTTTTACTTAGCATACAAATAATCAAACTTGTATTTTACTAATTTTCAATGAGTAACACATATATGATAATGTTATTGTATTGCAAAATGTACAGTTGCGGAATTATATTTCAGTACACTTTCTGGGTCCCACTTTTGTACCTCTGGCAACAAGTCGAAGTAAACATAGCGTAAATAGTATTTTTGTGAATGATGCTAAAACCCTAGGTAGTTTGTAAAAAAGAGTGTGATTGGTCGAAAATAAGTAACCAATAAGTGTATTAATGAATATTTTTTAAAACTAAGTAAGCCATTTGATCTTTCTCTTTCTTCTAATAAGTGATAAAGAACAAAGCATGTAATATTAGTTATCGTTGACTTTGTAGTTGGATATTCTTCAAATGTGATATCCTGGAATTGTTTGCATATCCAAATGGCAACATCTATGATAGGGAGGTGGCATTTCATACTCCTTACAGCATAAGTATCATTTATAGATACATATTTCTTAAAACATGAAAAAGATTCATGCTTTGAACATTTATGTATGGTAACTAAATTACCTAAAACTCTGTAAAATCCCTGAGACCTCTGTAAATACCGTTGATGCTTGCACCATCTAGTAATCAACCTAATGATTTTTTTTTTTTTTTTTTTTTCTTCTTTGTCTGAATCAAACACATATTGAATAAACAGAAACGTGATAAATTAGATTTTTCAATACAGAGCATGAACAAAATCACAATTAGGTTACACTAAATATGTAGATTCGTTATGGATGTGTGTGTGTATCGTCTATGGAAATATGAAGTCATGCTTGGTAATGAGTTACGAGAGTGTATAATCAGCTATTATTATGCATTGAGTCTTAGCATTGAGGAGTTGTATCCACATTCGAAGAGGTGAGCGAGAAAATGCATGTTTGCTTGTTTCAACTCGAGCAACTATTAGCTGGGTGGTTCCAAGGAGGGTGAATAGCAAAAATCTTAGAACCAACTCCCAATACTTGTGTTGTATATGTGGAGGTGGATCTCCCTATATGACATTGGCGAAACGGGGAAAATGCCTCAGACAAATATATCGAATTGTTAGAAAAAAATCCTCCCATCAGTACACTGTTATTCCTTGGCCCTTCCCAGAAACAATGAGGATAACTGCCTTAAACACACGTCCAGGGCAGTTACGAAGTAGTTCCCTGCCTAACACCAAGTGGAAGTCCTTCGATGGCCAAGTGAGGGATGTCGCTCAAACCCGACAAAAAATGTTTGGCCAAATATTGTCAGTGTTTGAGAAACGGCTAATGAAACAACCTCGAACCAGCTGATAGAAATCGTGACGTTACATGTGAACACGTCACCTCTGTCTCAGGGATTAGACACTGTTGAATAACAATACATATTTCCTATTATAAACATTACTATTTGTCTTCCCTTTCTACAGTTATTGCCATTTTTTGTAAAAGTATCTCCAAAATTAATAAACATCCCCAATTAGTCAATTCACTGATGCCCCATCATCTATGAAAAAATGAAAATAAATAATTATATATATATATATATATATATATATATATATATAATATATATATATATATATATATATTTGTATGTGTGTGTGTGTGTTGTGTGTGTGTGTGTGTGTGTGTGTGTGTGTGTGTGTGTGTGTGTGTGTGTGTGTGTGTGTGTGTGTGTGTGTGTGTCTTAGTTATTAACTGTGAGAAGGGGTTCAAAATGTATATGGAATATAAATCAAAAGATTCTAACTAAAGCGTTAAAAACTGTATAATTGAAGTTCTTTCACACACAATACATACACACATTGTTGAGGCCTGGTTAACCCGACCACGATTTTGCGTTCAGTTAATATTCTAAAATAATTATAATTGTCTGTTTATTGAATCCGTGCCTAGATCTGATCTATTAGTTCACAATGAAAATTACATATAAGAACTTTGATTTTATTTTGCGATAAAAGACAAGAATGTCATTTTTTTCACACATACACATACACTGTAAACAAGCGTGTATTGACAAAAAGAAGGAAAATAAAAAATGCATAAACAACAAATAAAAGTAAAGAGCAAGATTAACTGACATTTATCCAAACAATTTTTTTCTTCAAAATATCAGACATACAGCTCCTGTAATGAGAGCCGGTTCTTTGACTTTTGCTATTCACCCTCTTTGGAACCACCTAGCTTGTAGTTGCTTGAGTTGAAACAAGCGAACTTGTATTTTCTCGCTCAACTGATCGAATGTGGATGCGCCTCCTTCTAAAAATGCCAAGACTTATGGAATAATAACAGAAAAAACTATGATCAGATTTTAGCACAAGATAGACATTCTGAATAGCCGAAACAAATTAAACAGTTTCATAACTCGTCACTAAGCAGTGACTTCGTATTTCCATGGACGCCACACACACACACACACACACACACACACACACACACACACACACACACACACACACACACACACACACACACACACACACACACACACACACACACACACACACACACACATAGATGAAGCATCTATGCATTCTGTAAAGAAGAATCTAATGTAGCATGATTTCTGTTTATTCAAATTAAGTGTTTGGTTCTGCCAAAGAGGAAAAACTTATATCATTTTACGAGATCGATTATGGTGCAGCTACGAGAAGTGTTTACAAAGATCTTTTGCACATTTTTGTTTGATTTTGCTGCTATACAGAGATATTTAAAGCATGAAGCTAAAATCATTGATACTTCTTGTGTTGGAAGAATGGGGAAATGCCGCCTCCACACCATAGGTGTTGCCATTTCGACAAACAAACACTTAGAGGATATTGCATTTGAGGAATATCCAACAACAAAATCAACGATAACTAGTATTACATATTTTGTTATCACTTATTTGAAGAAAACGTAAGATTAAATGGCTTACTTAGTTTCAAAAAATATTCATTAATATACTCATTGGTTATTTACATTCAATCAATCACACTCTTTGTTACAAACTACCTAGGGTTTTAGCCTCATTCACAAAAATACTATTTACGCTATGTTTACTTCGATTGGTTGCCAGATGTACAAAAGTGGGACCCAGAAAGTGTACTGAAATATAATTCCGCAACTGTACATTGGTAGGATTATGGTGCTAACTGGCTTGCCTCGCTATTCCACAACACTTCAAAAAATTAAGTATCTCACTTATCCAATGACTGAACCTGTTGAAAAAAATACCACATATACTCTATAGCAATACCTAAATTTGTAATGATTCAGATTTTGAAATTTCCTCTTAGTTAAGTGGATTTTTTTTTGTCATTGTTATGAATATAAAATACAATATATGGACTTTTGAAATGAAAATAGGCATTGTTGCAAAAATCACAAATTTATTCACCTTTCAAATGATCCAAACCCCATTAGAATCGCCCAAGTATTTATGGCGATCCATAAAAAAATGTTGACAAAGTTGTAGATTTGAGATATCAGGCTTTGAAGTTGAGGATACTTCTTCACCATTTTCTTTTCGTTTATTAGAAATCTGATCTCTGTATTAATGTATTCTATGGCATTCACTTGGTATTCTGAAGTGTAGCTGGTACATGGTCCTCTGCTTTTGCAAGGTACTAATGGCTATAACGGCACATGATTGTAGAAGTACCGTGTGTCATCACAGGCTTTGCAGTGCCTTTATAGTGCCTCATGAGGCATTTCATACAAATGAACAATGTATTTCTCACCATATTGTGGGGGGGGGGGTCAGAGATTTGGTCATAACTCCTTTATTTTTACTTATTCAGCAGAAATATTACATCATGTGATTGCCAAAGCATACTAGATTAGAGGAGATTTTTTTTCAAATTTTTAAGTATTTTTTAAAATGCTCATCGAAAATTTAACCAATTTTCAAAATATTATTGAAATGCCAAGTGTCCTTATTTTTGAAAATAATGATATTTTTTTAGTTTTCTAGTTTAGATTGTCCTCTTGTCCCCATATTTGGCTTGCATTAGACTTAGTCCAAACATTTGTTCCAGGCATCATCACAAACATAAGAAGCAACGCAGTAAGAGACGAGAAGACCGTTCACGATCAAGGACACCAAGTCTTAGTGATGACAGCCTCTCAGATGTTGAGCAGCTGTTAAACCTCAAGGATGAAGGCACAGGTAAGCCATTACTGCCAGAGTTGACTTGTGATTAATTGATTTATGTGCTAAGCATTATCTAAGTGAGTGTGGATGTCTGTATCTGTATCTATTTTACATGTGCCTGTTTTTATATGCATATGTATGCTCATGTGTTCACATTTCAGGATAGATAAATATCTTAAAATATTTTTTCTTGCTTTATCCACAGCATTCCATTCTCAGAGAGGTTCACCTCCACCAAAGCCTCCCAAATCAGTCCCAGCTCCACCACCGCCTCAGCCACCTAGTGGAGGAGGAGGAGGAGGTGGTGGTGGTGGAGGGGGTGGAAGTGGAGACATTTCCCTCTCCATTGAGGAGACAAACAAGATCCGTGCCAAACTGGGCCTGAAGCCATTGAAGGTACAGTAGTTAGTCTAATAGTGAATTGATGATTAAGATATTTTATAAGCATATGGAGACTGCACACTTTGGGACCCAGAATAAATAGGATAGGGAAATGGAGAAAGGAAAAGTTTCTTCTTATCATTAGTAATATTATTCTTTTTCTCCTTCTAAATAAGCCTCAGAAAAGTACACCAAAAATTTGTACAGACATAGATTATAGCTGCTCCTAGTGATATCATGTGCCATGTATTGACTCCTTCCTTTATGATGCAAGCCCACTTTTGACCTCCTTTTCACCTCCACCAGCCTTGCCAAATACAATGGAACTATCTCCCATTTGTTTTTTTTTCATAAAGGAAAGCCTTAGGTAAGAGCTTGAATTAATTCATTCTGAACTACCTGAGTCCTTTGAAGACCATATTTCATGTAACCATTAGAGGGTTTGATTAAAGCATATATAGCATTTTACATGTGTAAGGCTCACTGACTTCATTAGTTAACAAACCTAGTGACATATCAGATGCCTCCTGTAATGTATAGTATGAATAGTTATAACATTTTGATATTTCCTTAATCAGATTTCTTTCCAGTTATAGATATTTGTAAAATTATTTCAACCAATTGCAGTCAATGTTATAGACCGATCTTGCCACTAGCAGAATACTATATACTATACATGTATTGCCAAATAAAAATTGCCACCACCAGATTCGTGGTGTACCAGTTGGTAATGTGCAGAACTGTACATTCCATGCCCTCTGAGTTTAGTTTATTGTCTTAATACATATATAGCTCCAATGAGCCAATTACAAGTACTACATATCTCACTTTACCCTTTTCCTTGAATTTTGGAAATGTTTTCTGGTATCTTATATTACTGTTAATAATGTCAATAGCATTATAATAGTTATAATGTCTATAATACTAGTAACAGCATCAAATAGTATTAGTAAAAAATAATTTCCTACGCTAGTGGAAAGGTGAAATCAGGTGAGGTCACAAGGTCTACAAATTGACTCCTTTGTGGCTAAGCATTTGTGGAGCATCTGTATATAGAGACATACTCAGACTCAGAGACTCAGACAAGAGGAGTGACATCTTGAAAGTTTTAGTTCTATTATCCTCTTAAAGTATCATATTTTGATTCAAATGGTGAAAATGAGATGAATAAAATAACACCTTCTTTCCACCAGATTGAGAACTCTGTTGCTAAGACAGAAGGAGATGAAGAGGAAAGCAAAGGTGACGACATGGAGGGTGTCAAGGAGCAGAGGGCAGGCACGAGCACACTGGATGAGTTTGTGCATAAACCTGCAGAGAACCTAGCTCAGAAGTTACAGGTAAAATGCAAGAAATATCAATACTTTTTCATTGTATGGCCTTTTTTTTTTTTTTCCCCTTTCACCTCTTTTCTTTTCATTTTTTAAATTCATAGTGAAAATTTAATTTAGTTTTAGCTTGGTTGGTATTGATTTTTGAAAGTCTCTCTATTTCTTTTCCTTATTTTTAGGTAGAGAAATTGAGAGAAAAGATAGCACTGCAGAGAGAAAAACGTCGCATCAAGGAAAAGCTGAAGAAAGTGAAGACCCTCGGAGAATCTGACAGTGATGAAGAGTCTGCCAGTTCTTGGGTTAAGAAGTCGAGAATATTAGAAAAGGAAAAAGCTGCTGCAGAGAAAAGGGTAATTTTTTTTTTTGTACATTTTCTCATCTCAAAACACTGACGTATATAAGATTCAACACTAAACATTTCCAATGTTGTGATTATGCCAGCGATGATAAATCCTTGAATGATTGTGATTCTGGCTCCTCTTTTCATTGTTTGATTATGGACTCTGATATTTTTAAATTTTAACAGAGTAAGATGCTGGAGGAATTGGATGCACAGTTTGGCATTGGAGATTTGGTTGAAAAGGAGATGACTGAGCAGAAGACTAAGAAGTACAATCGTGGTGACCTGTCGGGGATGCTTATTGAGCACGAGATGAAAAGGTTGGCTTGGCGGATATTTTCAAGTGTAATATGTCATTTGGCAGTGGTATTACAAAAGGTCCGCATATTTATCAATTATTCTGATCTTTCCTTATTCACTTAATTATGGAAACATAATTTACCATGATCATTTGTTCCAGGTTTGAAGAAGGTCGAACAACTATTTTAACCCTCAAAGACAGCAATATCTTGGATGATAAAGAAGATACCCTTGTGAATGTTAATATAGTTGATGATGAGCATGTAGAGAAGGTAAATTGCCTTTGTGAATGTTCATACTTGTGCTGTTTTTCATATATAGTTTTTTATGTATTTAAAAAAAAAATTACCTCTAGTTCAAATGTTATTGTTAATGCTTTCATCTTGTTTCTAGAATCTCAAGCGAAGATTGAAGAAGGCTGATGACAAAGAGTATGAGGCCCCAGAAGTAGACGAATTTGGGAACATTGTCCACAATTCTCTCCTCACCAAATACGATGAGGAAATTGAGGGCGAGAAAAAAACAAGCTTCAGGTTGGGTGCTGGTGGGGAGTCTGTTGCTGCTGATATTGAAGAGAGCCAAAGTGGTATTCCTCCTAGCATGAGAAAGATGGCCAAGTTAAGGCAACTACAGTCCCTAGATTTGCCCCAGACACAGCTAGCTTCTGAATACTTCACAGAGAAAGAAATGGTTAGTTTCCGCAAGGTTAAGAAGACTAAGAAAAAGAAGAAGAAGAAGTTAACTGCCGATGATTTGGAGCCTCTAGAGGAGGACTCACTGGTGCACCTCGGATCCAGGACTGCCAGACATGCCAGGATTGAGGCCATGCAAGCAAATGAGGAGGAGGAAGAGGATGGAGTGCCTCTAGAGGATACCAAGCCCATCGGAAGGAAAGTAGTGACACTCCATGATCTGCTTGAAGAAGAAGAGCAGCCGGCTGTGAAAGAGGAGGAAATGGAGGTGGACGAGGGACAGGAGAGCGAGCAAGACGACATAGAACTCCAAGAGGCTTTAGCCAGGTCTCGCAGGGCTAAGCTTGCACAGGCAGCTCAGCCAAGCAGTGAGAGAATCACAGAGCAGTTTAAAAAGGAAAAGGTTATAGAACAGATTGAACCAGAGGATGATGAAATGAAAGAAGATGCTGCAAATCTCGTCATGACTCTCAACACCACTGATGAATTTTGCCGCACACTAGGAGACATACCTACTTATGGTCTGTCAGGAAATCGTGCAGAAGAAGACCAAAGTATGTTGCAGCTCCAGCAACCAAAGGTCAGTATTAGTTGTGGACATATAAAGATTTTTTTTTTTAAGATTTAATTTTCCATAGATAAAAGAAGAAAAGAAAAGAAAAGTTCATATTTGATTTACTATTTTGTACATGTTCTCTTACTGGTTGTTATATCAGTGAAATACCAGCATAGACTATACCAGAGATACTTTAGGATCCTGGCCATATTTCTCCCTACAGGAAAAGGAAGCCCAGGAACCACGAGGAGCTTGGGAAGAAGTAGGAATTGACGACACCCGTGTGGAAATCACAGACAACATGACCGCCCCAATCTTAGAGGAAGAGCCCGATGCCAGCAAGGGTGTCGCCAACGCTTTGAAGTTAGCTCTTAAGAAGGGTTACTTGGAGAAGACCAATATATCCAAGTCTGCTAATGCTGCTTTGCAACATCTCAGAGCAGTTCACTACAGGTTAGAAAAATATTTTGTATTGTGAACTCATACAGATAATTACCATTAATGTTGGCTTTATTGTTTCTTAATATTTTTTGATAAATATGACAATCAACTGGTGTATCTGTTGCAGCATTGAAGACAAAGCAGTCGATGATGATCGAAGGGGAAGTCGAGGCGAGCGATACATTGGGCCAGTCACTGAGTTCAAGGAGAAGGATAAGTACAAGCCAGACGTAAAGTTGGAGTACGTGGATGATGAGGGACGCAAACTCAATGCGAAAGAAGCTTTCAGGTGAGAGGTCTACTTCTTTTGTTTTAGTATTAGTGATGAATAGTAGTGGTATACAGCAGGGATTGTAGTGATAATAGTAATAGTAGTCACAAAAAGTAATATTAATGCTGGTTTGTTCCATTATATTATATTGAATTATTATATTTATATTATTCAATAAATATATGCATAATTTGATAATCAAATGTCCACAATTACAATTATATTTTCTTTAGTTCAGTGTTCATCAGAATTCAGTAGATTTTTACTTATTTATTTATTTATTTTATTTTATTTTATTTTTATTTTTTTTAACTATCTTGATGTAGGTAGGTGGAGACATGTATGATTTAAGATTAGCAGTTAGTACTACTGCTTTTTTAACCCACCCGCGCCGGGGTACATTTTGTAGCCAAAATTAAAAAAATCCGGGAAGCTACAAAATCGGCTGGCGGAGCTTCCCCGGAGTCTGTCCGCCCGCCCGGCCGCCCGCTTTTGCCGCGGAGCACGGCTCCGAGACAGCATCGCACTGGCGGGCAGCCCGAAACTGTTTATTTTTTCCCTGTGTCTCATATATGTGACACCCAGGACGAATGGGTTAATTATTGCGTTATAGACAAAATTTAGCCATTAGCCCTCAACCAACATGTGACTACATATATGCTGAAAACATGTCAAAATTGAGAATTGATCATGTCAACTTTGAGGTCTACGGATATTGACCACTTATGTAACCAACTGCTGGTATTTTTGACCGTGATTTCCATGATGCAACTGGCTCCAGTGGGTTAATTTTTCATGAAGTCAGACATTTGTTCACTGTAAAAATATAAACAACAGTTGTATATTTCATTTAATCCTTCAATGTGGGTTTGCATTAATATGAACATCACGTCATGAAAAAGTTTGGCTTGAGGGCCAGTTGTCGTGAGCATGCCATCATGGGACAAAATGGCTACGGGCCAGGTGACGCAAACTTGCTGTCATGAGCAGAGGCTAGGAAAATACTCGGCACAAGTGCACAAACCTCTTGAAGGGTGATTAGACTCATTTGGCATTTAGAAAGGGGCATTTACATGATCCCCAGTGATAAACAAGTATGGAATAAATTGTCCATGAGCTATGACTGGAAGAGCACCAGCCCAGGGAAGATAACATTTCATATGAAACCATATTTGTATTCATACAAAAAATGAATTATGACACAAATAAAATGTTATAGAATCTTCTCATTACACGAGTGTTTGCATGCACCCTGCTTATACGCAGCACACCCGGCAAAGCGGCCGCTTCCAAATACCTGTACTTTTATCTTGTGATTGCTGTGATGCAACTGGATTCTGGGCGTTAAGCAGTGTGGTATATTATATATATATTTGGTTTAAAATTAGAGAAGAGCCTGATCCACATGAACCACAAATCTTTTCTAATTTCACCCCTTGTTATTCACAGGTATTTGTCCCACAAATTCCATGGGAAGGGATCAGGAAAGAATAAAACCGAGAAACGAATGAAGAAGTGGAATGAAGAGTTACTGATGAAGCACATGAGTTCCTCAGACACCCCACTGCAGACACTGGAGCGCCAACGAGAAAAGCAGAAACAGCTAGGAGCTGCATATCTTGTTTTGTCTGGGAGCAAGACACAGGAATCCATGGATGTCAAAAAATGATAGAAATTGGGCTTTAGATTGCATTGTTCATACCTTTTCTTGTCTCCTGCTCATTTCTTTTTTTATTCATGGCAAAATATTTTCTTTTTCATATCTAAAAAATGTATTTCTTGTTATATGGATGAAACCAGTTCAGATTTTTTCATCACCCAAGTGATAAATTGGAAACTGTAAATATTTTTTGCAAAAAAATAATTGTTAGAAAGTCGTAATTTTACCAAGACTCAGTTTAATTTTAGACTGCTATGTATTTTTGGACAAGGCAAAAAATAATAATGATGAAGAAAGAAGGCATACTGGAGGGATATACTTATTAGACAAATATAATCTTTAAGTATGTAGAACCTTCATTTTTTTTTTTTTTTTTTTTTTTTTAGGGGGGGATTTGTGTTATATGTATTTATAATTTTAGATTCCATGTTTAAAACAAAATTTCATTAATATAAACAAAACCAATATAAATGATCTTCATATTCCTTGATTGTTTTCCTAGTCTTATTTACAAATTTACCCTCTTTTTTTTTTGCCTTTTAACCACAAACCATTATATGAAACCAGGACTTGGTCAGTGCATATATCGTATGAAAACAAGTAGGCAAAGTTTGCTTTCGCAGTTGTTCTGATCACTCATGCCTTATCACAGTTACATCTGAGTCCCAAACTCATGCACTATCTACCCTGACCGACTTCACTGGCAAACCTTTACCTGCCGAACCTCACTTCTCTCTTTAACACTTGTACCTGAATTATTTCTGTCTTCCTGATTGATTGTCCTATCTACCACAAGAACTAGTCAGACTGGCCATGTTGGCTACGATGCAGTGGCAATACAGTGCTACACTATAACTCCCAGAGGCCAGTGCAAGTCCCACACCAGTATTGCCAAGACTAGCTTCCATAGACATGATCTCCCTCATGAAGTTTATATTGGTGGACTGTCCTGCCTTGTCCGAACATATCGATCCCTCTCTCGTCAGTGTCAGTAATGTTGGCATTTTGGCTGCCCAGACAAACACTCGCTCCACAGCCTGTTCCGCTCTATGTGCCGAACCTGGTCATGACTGTTCAAATTGCCCTGCTCGGTCATGTATGTATGCCAATTGTGGTGGCTCCCATAATGCATTTTATATGAGCTTCCCTGCATATAAGCTCAAATGTGAAGTGGCAGTTCTCAGATTCAAACTAGGCCTCAATCTACATGAGGCCAGACAAGAAGCACCACAAGGTTTTTCACACTACCTATTCCAAAACTGTCCTACACTCTGCTCCCCTCCCATCTTCTCAAGATGTCTCAGCATCTCTCCAGTTATCTCTTCTCTCTACCCTGAACCATCCTACCCCTACTCTCCCTCTCCCCAAGTCAAATTCATTTTCCAGTCTAAATCCAGGTTCTCCAACCTCTACCACTTCTCCAATGCCTACCCTACATTCTCCTCGCTTTATCTGTCAACCAGACAACTTAAATATTCCACTCCATCTTTGCCTACTACGTCCTCTCCTACACCCTCTTTTTCCTCTCCTACCCGAAAAATCCATCCCCCCTTTTCCTTTCAAGAGAACATTTATTTCTCAGACCTCCCCACCCACCTCCCCTTCAGAAACTCTTGGAGACATCTAAGAATTCTTAGACATCACCCAAGAGAATGTTCTGCTGTATGACCTTTCTTTACTTGGGGCTTTGCTCCCAAGCCTCACCATACCACTACATTTTGAATGCAGATGTTGACACAGCAGAAATTTTTCAACAAATAAATAGAAGAATACAGTACAAAGGCACGGAGTCCTGACACCCTATGTGAGTGTTTATGTGTGCTGTGATTAAAAGCCACACACCCCAGAGAGTAACCAATCAAGTAAGCCTAATGCCCAGATTTCGAGCCATGTGAGGGCAGCAAAACACCTGGATCCAACAGATTACTAGCAATAGTAACTATCAACAGGTGAGATCAGGTAGGCCATGTAAATGACTCTTTGGAGCCATCTGTGTTAACAAAATTAGTAACACATTTGGACAGTGCATGCACAAGGTACCAATGGGTTGACACTTTCCTTTCTTACTAAATATACAAGAATATTCATTAATAGATATGCAACACTAATCCCTAGAATTCAGTGTCTAAAATATTTGAAAGTATTGCCAAATTTTTACAAGAAATCAACACAGCATGGGTTATTTATAGTAGGTGATCAATATATGATTACAAGTACTTGGAACAGGTTCTTAAATATTTACACTAACAAAAAACAATTATGTTGTAAATCTCTTTATTCTAGGATGTCTGTAAAATAAATAAGAAATCCTTCTGGTACAAAAGACATCAAATCAACATAGCAGTATCTAAGAGAGAGGCAGAGAGAGAGAGAGAAAGTAAGGCATTTGTACATCCTCATGGAAAAATAATGCAATTTCTATGAAAAAAATATATGATTTATGAAATGGAAATAATCATACAGCTTTTAATGTATTCTGTTTATGAATACATCTGAGTAACATTAGATTTTGTAATCTATCATATGAAAAGATCCAAAATAATACAAGTTAGACAGAGAGCCTCTATATCACATTCCATTTCTTGAATAGAGACTAAATGAAAGATTCTGACCTCCAATAAGAAGTTAAATACAAACAAAGCTATAATGCCTTTACACCTTTAGCCTTGATTTGGTGACTCACTAGAAATCACACGGAGAAATTCCCCCTCGTAAACACTATAGTTGCCTTAGTATTCCTCGTCAGTATTTAAGCTGACTTCATTTATAGCCATACAAGTCTTCTGTTTCATAGTAAGTCATATGAAATGCACCGTTGGAGTTGATCGTGAATTGCAGGTGTAATTTTTCTTTTCACACATTAGTAAAGGCAGCAACCATTCTAGTGCAAAATTTGGAGGGTTGCTTTAGTTTTCTTAATATATTAATATATTACATATTTTACAGAATAACACTTTCTTTACCAAGTCCAGCTCAGAGCACCAATATTCACATATAAATATCTCTTAACACTTTCCAGCTTTTCAGACCCATTTCAAGTTTATTCAGTTGGAGAGGTTCAATTTTGCTTGTATAAAATGCATTAACTGGATACATAAAATTCTACCTCTAATTCCACACAAATGCATTTACTGAACTGCAATGTGCTAGACTAAACATCACTTTTTGTAAAACTTTAAAATGCAGTGTTCACAGAATAAAAATATCAATTACTTTACTTTCTCCAGTCTCTTCCACAACACCATGTATTCTCAATTTACCATGTACACAATCACTTCTCACATTCTGACTAAAAATATATACTTGAACAGTATTAACAACAATTAGCCATGAACATATATTTTCCTAACACAAGATGGCCTTCTAAGTCATATTAATTCTCAGGTAAAATATCTACTACATACAAAATAGGTAAAAGACACTGATGTCCTACACATCAATGCTACCATGGTAGTAATTCAGCCCTTCCGTTAAAAATAACTTGAGGGGTAAAAGTTTTCCGTGTAAATCTGTCTAAAAATGAGGACGAAAAGCATCATCCTTTTCATGAGCAAAGCCAGATGCACTGGGTTCGTGAGAATGATTACATGTGTTCTATCCGGGAGAAAAGGGAACAACACTGCTTAACAATTCATTACTTCAAAGTTTACACTTAACTTCTATATTTTTATTTCTGTTAATGCATCACTGGGAAATCACTATGACTCCACATTACTTTACAGAATAAAACCCTTGATATGAAACCAACCAACACATTCTAACATTTGGAAACACTTGATCTGTATTTGATCATATAAAAAAAAAACACTTTAAACTAAACTTCAGTTGTGACTTTTCTTCACAAACATCATAAAGTTGTAATTATGAATTACTACTGGATGCTTGCTGACAACTCTCTAGCTTTCAGCAATTTTCAATATTTTATGAATTTTGTTCTTTACATCTTTGCAGAACTGCCTATGCTTCTAACTTGCAACACAGCATTGCAAGTTAGGGCATATGGCACATCAACATTTTTCTAAAGAGTTATGGTCTTCAGTGGAAAAAAAGATAAAACAAAAACAAAATAGTAAATATTCTGCATACCTGCAGTTTATTAATTTAAAAATTACCTTTCCCAACTTCTAATTCATATACAAGCTACAACAAATTCATATTCAATTTCTCTCTCCTCTTTTCTGCTTCCAATTTGGCCATAAAATTAACTTTGGTTTAAACCTTCCCAACCATTTTCCCTTCTCTCCATCATGCAGCCACAGACAGTGACTCTTTTATGTCTTCTTTTCATTTGTCATCCTTGGTGGGTCTCCTGTCTTCTTTATCCCTATTCTTGTCCTGAGCTTTATCTTGGGTATGCTTCTCTGCGGGTATTTTGAAGCCAAGGGTAAACGGGAGACTGGCAGCTGCTGCCCAGCCCGCTTTTTCACTTCCTTTGGTTTCCGCCATTTTGCTGTAAAGGAAAATTCTGTTTTAACATATCTGCCCTTTCATTTCTTGTCATTAATAATTTTGAAATGGAATGCTGCTAAATGAATTTTAGCATTACAGCTACATCGTGTACATTTGTAACTAACTATTTTTGTATCTATTATTGACACTAAACATTCATGTCAATCTGAAGGCAATGTTAAGCAAAATCTTAAACCAGGATATAAAAATCATAATGAACACTGCAAATTCTGAAGGCCAATATAAAGTTCAAACTTATAATGTAACATATATTAGAGGATCAATAAACATTATGCACTCTACAACCAAACCAACAACACTTATTAACTAAAAAGTATAACATTAGCCAGAGAGTATGAAGCTATCCACCAAATGCAGGCTTATTTTCTCATATGCTGACTTTTATCACGTAAATTAAACTTATTTACCGCTGGTATCAGGCATATATAGCAAAAGGCAAATATTTTTGCGAGACACAGCAAGCAAACGATATATAAAAAAGGATCGAGATACTCATAATGGTACTCCAAGCATAGAAAGGATACCTTTAAAAAGACGTCAATTAATATCCAGCCTGAATAATAACATTATACTAACAGTCTATGATGCACTCACTGCATATACAATATGCACATGCAAATGCATCCATACAAACACACATACATGTGCATGCAGACATGTGCGCACATATGTGCACACACACACACACACACACACACACACATACACACACACACACACACACACACACACACACACACACACACACACACACACACACACACACACACACACACACACACACACACACACAACACGAACACGAACACGAACACGAACACGAACACGAACACGCACACAAACTCACACGCTCACACACACGAACACAAACTCACACACACGAACACAAACTCACACACACACACACAAACTCACACACACACAAACTCACACACACACACAAACTCACACACACACACAAACTCACACTCAAACACACATTAGCATGCACACACAA